TCAACAACCATTGAGAATAGTCAATGATTATTTATCACTCATGTATAGCTCTATTTGTTTTCCCTAGAAACCACTTTGAAGAAACCAAAATATAGTACAACAACCATTGATAATTTCCTACCATTTTTGTCTGTAACTCATTATTATTTGTCTATTTGTTTTCCTGAGAAACTATCTTGAAGATACCAATTGGTAAGATAACAACCATGGATAATGTCCTACCACTTTGTCTGTAATTGGATAAATCCCTCTATTACTATGTTATCCTTCTTTTACTCTTTTAAATAAATAAAAAAAAATCAATAGTGTATATCTTTACATTACTATATTTCTGATATGATTTTAGCATTAAATCTACTGTTCTTATTACTTTTGAGAAGAAATTTTACATCAGTTGAAGTTGTTTTTACTATTTAGATGCTATGAATTTTCATCATGATTAAATTAGAGTTTATCAAATTATTTTTTGTTAAATACAATTTTATCTTTTACTCCACATCATTTGTTAATGGGAAAATTATAAAGAGTGATTATAAGTCCTAAGCTATTTTCTGTGTCTATGATAACATATACCAGTCATGATTAATATTTTTGTATGTATGACGGGTGTTTATGCTGTTTTGTTATTTGGGTTTGTTCAGAGTGACTTTAGGCTATCAATTTCCTTTTCTGGCATAGTTTTCGTATGAAGGTTATATTAGTGTACTAAAATGAGTTGGTGGACTCATTTTATTATTTCTCTGGGGTAGTTTACATTATTTGGAATGATTTATTTTCTAAACACTTATGGAGATTCCTCTGTACAGTCCTGTACTGGCATTTCTTTGTAGTACATTTCTTCATGGTATTACTTTTAAATATTTATATGAGTTTTCAGCCTTATTTCCTTTTCTCCCTTCCTGAATTGGAACACTGTTTACTACAATGAAATGCACAGATCTTGAGTGTACTTGATGAGTTTTGGCAAAGTGAGCCTGCACCTCCAACCGAGTATCGGACTGGGCTCCTTATCCCACCATCCAGCCAGGCCCGGTCCATTCTCTGTTCTCTACAGGAAACCATACTTATGAATTCTAACAATATATATTATTTTGCCATTAGCATTTCGTGCTAATGGAATCTGAACATGATATGCTTTTGTATTGGTTTTTCTTCTCTCAAATACTTGTGAAATATCCATGTTACGGTATCAATCACTAATTCCTTTCCACTTGCATATAAACATCTTGTTCTCCTAGAATTGATGATAGCCTATTTCTGACTAAATGCTGATTGTAAATAAAATGTGAGGTGTATTCTTATGCATCATTTTTTTGAACATATATTTTTATATATCTTGGGTACAGTGTTTGGAGTATAATTGTTGGGTCAAAGTGGAGCTGGACATTTAACTTCATTAAAAAATAACAACTGCCCAAGTATTCCCAAGTAGTTATATTATTTTAAAGTGCCACTGGTGATTGTTTTAGGAATTGCACATTGCTACCAACATTTTGTTTCAGTCTTCTTTTCATTTTAGCTATTATGGAGCACATTATGTATGTGTATCATTACTGATTTGATGGGTTCGTTATAGATACTTGATTCTAGATGTTTCAGAATTATTTTCTCCTTGTCTATAACTCTACTATTTAGTTTCTCAAACAGGTTTTGGGTCCGCCCATTGTGTGTGTTTGTGTGATGCAAACACATGTATGTGCATGTCCATACATGCACATGCATTTTGCTTCCTAATGAATCTTTTCCTACCATAAGTTTACAAAAATACTCATGCATGTTTTCTTCTAAGAATCTTTATGATTTTAGTTTTCTACATTTATGTCTGTTGTCAGTCTCAAAACAAGGTTTGCCTAAGGGTGAATAATGTAGGGCATTAATAGTTTTTCTGTTGTTGGTTTTGTTCTGTTTTTTGATACAGACCCACAACTTTTTCAGCACTATTTGTTGAAAAACTTTTCCAGTTTTGTTGCAGTGGCACATTTGTTAAAAATCAGTTGACCTGGATATGTAAGTTTTTTGGCACTAAACTATTCCAATTATCCATTTACCTATATATAAAATAATCCACATTCCAGTGCAATATTGAATAAAAGTGTTAGGAGTAGATCTCCTTGTATTTATCATGATCTCAGGGGAGAAATGATTAGTTTTTCTTTACCATTATGACATATTTGTAAATATTTTAATAATGTGTATTTCAAAAAATACCCACTGAATTGAGATGCAATTCACATACTGTTCATAATGCCCACCTAAATAGTATAATCCCTGAGTTTTTAGTTTCATTAAAGTCATGTAACCACCGCTATGATTAATTTTAAGTTTTTTCATCATCACAAAATGATACTGTATAACCATTTGTGGTCATTGTTCCTTTCTTGATCTCTGTACAACATCCCAGCCTCAGGCAATTGCTTGAGGAATATTACGTCTATATTACCGTATATAGGATCATGGTTTTAAAAAATATTCAAGCACTGAACTAGAAGGCACTTACATAATGTTAATTATGTTTGTCCTTCATACTTTTAACAGAGCTTTAGGCACATTTTAATCTCTACTTATTAATATTTAATAATTATAACATGAAAGATAATCTGAGTCATTTGGTTTCATAATGTTTCTTTCAGTGGCTGACATACAAAGTCCACTTTTTTTTATTTATGTTTAGGATCAATAAACAAAGCGTGTATAACCCTAAAATTTTTCATTTAAACTGCATTGTATATGTTCTATGTTTAGTGTTGTCAAACTTATTTTATTTGTTCACAGTTTTAATTTGCTGATCCTAAGATTAGCTACGTAGCATAAAGCATATAAAATTGGAGAGTAAGGGGCAAATGATGAATTTTATTATAGAATATTACTGCATAGGAAAGTTTAATAAATATGAATATTGCATTTCATTTAAAGTAAATTTAAAATATAAATTTAGAACATTTTTGAATGTTGAAGATCAGTAGATGTGCAATAACATTATTTATTTCAATTTCTTACCTCAATAATCTGTTAGAAAAAAATCTTTAGAAATTTTACATACCACTGTAACTCACTCTAGTGAAAATAATTTATTTTATTGTATAAGTAAGTAATTTGTATACTGAAGACAGTATAAATCTTGGCATTGATTTAGGAAGATGTGGCTCTTTTGTAATGGGTCTTAGAGATCTGAACTCTGTATGAGAGAGAGAGACAATGGGAGGGAGAAAGTATTTGGGTATCATCCTTTCTCAATGGTTAACTTTGAAAAAACACATAACCTCAGTTATTCTTGGTAGAAACCATACTTCTGTAACTGAAAAGACATTCTGTTGATGTTGTTTCCTAGTTCAATTTTGTGGGCAAATTGCTTGGACCAAGAGGAAACTCCTTGAAGAGACTACAGGAAGAAACAGGTGCTAAAATGTCTATCCTGGGCAAAGGATCAATGAGAGACAAAGCAAAGGTACTGAGCATTGAGTTGGATACCTGACACGCATGTTACCCTTGGCTATGGTGGCCCCAGGGACAAGCACACTCCAAGTGCTCTTCTGTCATTTCGTGTTTCTCTCTCCACCTAGAACATCTGCCCCTGGTGTGAATCTTTTCTATCCTCGTAAAATCCAAGTATTACCTTCCCATCTTTCAGAGCACATATTCTGTATTTTCATTCTTTTTATTTCTTTGTGTAGCTTGCTATCAAATCTTTTCAGTTTTGCATCTCTGCAGAATGTTTCTCTATGTCTACGTTCATTTTTTAAAAACTCCCCAGCTAGATCCCGTCTATTTCTTCAATCACATCACCTAATCATATCTGTTGTATCATTTTCTCATGTTACCTCTCTGCTCTATTTCACTTTGATCCTCTTATCTAAAGCAATTTTAAATGCTTATCTGCAAATCTAAGAGAATCCTGGTTATTTCTTGAAATGTTTCAATGATATTAGACAGTGCACCTGACTCCCAAAAGAACAATAAGCCAAGAAATGGGTCAAGTTTGATGTTTGAAATGATTTGCTTCACATCTAAACTACATCATTTTCTGTTTTATAAAGTTATAGGAATTGCTGTGAGCTAGAATTCAGAGTTTGAGAGCAATAACTATTCACAGGAATATATTTATAAAGTATCTTTGAAAATTCATGTGGAAGTGGTGAATGTGTATGGTAATAACATTTGGGCAGGCTATATTTTTATAGTTTATTATGTCCCTAGAAAAATGAAATGTTCAAATAATTATTTCTGATTATGAGAATATTTAGAAAATTACTTACAAGTTCTGTCTTCAGTCTACTACTGAGACATCTCAAATTAAGGAATTTATAGTAATGATGCAAAATACCTGTCATGGAAAATATTTTATTTTTATTGTAATAAATCTTACTTGGATTTTAAACAAAATACTTTACTTTAGAATGAATCGATAATCAACCTTAGAAATATGGGAAGAGATAGTTTTTACCAGTGTTCTAGGTAACTTTGATTATTCTATACTGTGTATAATTTCAGTAGTGAACACTTCCTTGCCCTTCTTCCTGTCTGATTTGTATGGCTGCCTTTGGAAGGAACAGTGTAAGTATTTTCAAGCATCTAGTCAGGAGCTAAGCTTTTGCCTTCTGGCACAAACCAATTAGTAGTTTTTAAGAATATGAAATGAAATTGACATGTAGTAATATCTATACTTTCACATATTCTTTGATATTATTTTGTAATATTCATCAAGTATCTTACAGTCTTACAATATAAACTTAATATTATTTGCTTTTATGTTCTTATGCATGCTTTAATATTTAGATCAGATATTAACTCCCTTCTGGAGATTCACTGAGCACCTCTAATAGGCTAACTACTCTTTTATCACTTAAGATGTTTTACTGCATTATTTGTTTATCTCATTCAACTGTAAGCATCCACAAACAGGGAAATGTACTAGTCAGCTTTGCATATGTGGGAACTTCATCTAGTCACTCCCTGTCTTTTAAAAAAGATAGGTTATTCTTCATCCGTATGTGTTTGGACAATTTTCCCTGATCATACAGTTATGCAGTGAATTCCTTTTTCCCTATGAGCATGGTAGTACTAGTGTAAGTACTAGTGTGCAAATCCAGCTGGAAACAAATTTAGTTTCCTATTAAGGTTCTATTAAGTTTTCATTAGGCATAATTTACTAACATTACTTGTTACATAATACTCTCTTTCTTATTTGAGGGTGGCCCATCTTTATTTACTCTGTTTTGAGTGTTTTCATATTTCTGTATAAAATAAAATAATGTTTACTACTAATAATAATATATCATACTTTAAAATTTATTTTCTCAAATCTAAAGTAAACCTTTACTATCAAGATTATTGAGCACACAGCTGAGAGAAAGCCATGGGCATGGTTATGAAAAATTTTACCTCCATTAATCTTGATTAAATTAATATAAAATCATTTATCAAGTTAATACTGTGCTCCTATTTTCCCTTTCTGTCACATGACCTGAACAGGAAGTTTTTTTATGTTTTTGTTCTTTATAAGAACTAAATAAAACTCATCTTATTCTTAAACAAAAGTGTACATATAGGCATATACATACAGTCTTAGAAACAGGCATTTATTTACATAGTTGAAGTAGTATTTATTTACTGTGATACTACTTGCCATTCACTTTTGTAGTTTACAGAATAAAAATGATAAAATTTTACCCATCTTAGAGTTTAAATTCTAATAAAAATAAGTGAAGAAATTTTATATCTGCAGACACTGGTAATTATTATGGAGTAAAATAAAAGAGGTGATGGGAAAAAAGTTTTATGGTGATAGAGGCAGTGTTTTGGTATTTGTGTTGGTTTGGGGCTTATTTTGCAAGGGGAACAATATAATACAGGACACATACTTTATATGATTATTTATAAGTCACCCAAGAACAATATACAAAAGAGTGCAGGGAATCTGTCCACACACTAAGACCAAGGAATCCAGCTGAGGGCCTGGATCCCACAACAATGTCCTATGTGAGTTGAGCTGAATACCCAGAGCTCATAACAATGCCTCCCACGAATCCAACTGGAGGCCCAGAGCCCATGACAACATCTCATGCAGGCCTGTTTCAGGGATCTGCTGGAAAGGCCCAAAAGTCAGTGATGGAATCTACAAAGTCTTTGCCAGCAGGATGAAGGATCTGTGCTAGCAGGCTGAGGGATCTGCCCTGGAGCCAGGAAGTGATGCTCAGAAGAACCACAACTCCCCCAAAAGGTACCACAGCCATCCTCAGCAACAGTGAGGTCCCGAGCTCCTCCGATGATCAGGATGGCGGAGTTCCCATTAGGGAAACCAATGCAGCAAGCTTTTCCTGGAGGCTGGCAGTGCACCATCTTCCCCTCTTGAACCAGGAAGCTATGCTCAAAGTGAGGACCAGAGCTCTCCAAAATGAACTGAAGCCATTCTCAGTGCCAGCGAGGTCCCGAGCTCCTCGGAGGATGAAAACAGCCAAGTTCATCAGGAAAGCCAGCTCCCCACAGCCTCTCTCAGCTCCCAACAGCCTCTCTCAGTTCCCAACAGCCTCCTCCTTCTTCTCCAGGTCTGCCTCTTATGCTGCTGGCAACAGTCCTCAGGTGGACCTCCCACACCCAGCACCACTCACTCAGTTCAGCTGGGGGTTATAAGTTGACTACCAGTTATCAATCCACTACAGTATTAATCAGGTAGACCAGGAAATATTGAGAAGGAAACCATAAAAATATCATAAATTAGAGTGATAACACCACATGCGAAAATGAAGGAAAAACCTGTACCTTTATCCATAACTACATGTAAACTGTACTAACTGCTGTAGCCAGCTCACTGCTTACTAGCTGCAGTAAAGCATAATCATCTCCCATTGTGGAGATGACTTTTTAACACCTGATTTCTTAGCACACTTTGGTAGTGAAACTCTCTGAAAAGTTACTTGCACTCTCCTGTCTCATCATTGTTCTCTTGCTCAGTTGCTGTGCCTGGATCCTCCTTCTCTTCCCAGGTTGCCAGAACCAGAGCTTTTCCCTCCATGACCGCATACCACTTACGTCTTTCAGAACCTAAAATTTATTCCCATCCCCGAATCCTTTTTAAGTTATAGATTCTAGATTTACCTATGTACCAATTTAGGGTGCCAATGGAAAATTGTCTAAATGAATACACACCACACACACACCACATGCACAGAGACTTGTATGTAGCTTGACAAAGACCCCTTCACTAAACTTAGGCAATCTCCACTCAGTCCTTTTCTCACCTAGGCCTTGCAGTGTGAGGCACAAAAATTAGCCGTATTTATTTAAAGTTTATATTAGCATGCATCAAGATTAACATGCAGTGGTAAATCTTTTTGACTTTTTATTTGATGAAGGAAAAAAGGGACACATCACAAGGCATTCGTTATAGACAAAGCCAAGGTCAGCAAGTGCTGTATTCTCTTTATCAGGCAACTATTTAGAAAATGATAATTTGTCTTCTTGCTTTTTTCAGAAATGTAAATGCAGATTTTTTCTGTCTTGCATATGGTGTTTTCAGAGTTTAAAATATGTTTTAATCTTGATCTTTATTGCATGATCAAGAGAGAGTTGTTCAGGTCAAAGAAAAATATTTACATGGAAAATATTTACTCTATATGGGTGGTATGCTCAATATATTCCCTATTTTGTTGTATAAAATATTAACCATAAACCAAGATCTCACAAAGTTTATAATTTAATTAAACATGACCTGTTTCAAAATTTCTTTAAAATTGATTAAGAATATATTGATCATGTAAATTAGTAGGAAGATAGAATGACAAGGTCATTTAATTTTGATTTTGTGGATCTAATAAGACTTTTAATCATTAGATAAAAACATGAAGTTTTAAAATTTATTCCCAGATCATTATAAAATTAACTGCTTAAGATAGAAAGCACTTATGCTGGCATGTATTAAGAAGAATCAACAAATTTGAGTTTCTGTGTTACTTTGCTCTTGGTAATTAAGAGGAAATTTACTTGGTATTTAATTACATCTACATTCTGTAAGCAAAGAAAGAATACAAAACAAAACAAAAAAACTCAAGGCGTAGTACCATTCAAAGTAACAGCAGCAATAACATCTTACCATCTGCTCATGACCTCTTTCACACACGGGTCAGATCCCAAGACATTAGAACTCAGTCTGCTGAAAACTGTGCAGGAATGTGTGAACAAAAGATAAAGTTTGAAGTGTAAGAAGAATGGTGTTCCTAGACAAATCCAGAAAGTAAAATATACACTATGTGTTTAATATTTGAAAACATTTCAGAGAATTAACTAACAGTTCAAAAATCAAAGCCTAAATCCCTTCACATACCATGGAACCAGCTGGTCCTCAGTAACCAGGCAGCTGAGCAGTAGTCTTCAGGGTAACCTTCTGTAACTTCAGATGGGATTTTGCTATTTTTATCGATGTTGATGGCAGATTGGAGATGGAAGCAGTGT